GGGCTGTGACCCCCAAACTGGGAGAGTGGCTCCAACAGATCCCAGGAACAACATCTGAGATCTCTGTCCAGAAGAGTGCAGTCCTAGGAACAGATCAAATACTCTGCAAGACCCTCAAGCTCCCAGGCCTCTGGTAGAAGACCCGAGCTTGAAGGAAGGAATACAAAGACCACCCCAAAGTGGGGGGCGAGTGGGGAATTTTTTGTGGATGCATGGAGCACTGCAGGGTTAGAGTCAGCCCAGTTTCAAATGTAAGCAGTAACAACTAATTACTTCTCCACACTACATTATTTTCAACTAAATGGGACACTCCAATGATTTAGTATTGCACTTTCACAGGGCTGTCACACAAACCTAAAATAAGAACATTCCGAACTGTAGCTGTTTCCGGTACAGAACCGAGGCAGCCATCTGCAGAGCCAACTCAACCAATGGCTCTAACCATCGGGGGGGTTTCAGTGTCTTGCCCAAGGACACTTCGACATGTGGACTGGAGGCACTGAGATTCAAATCTTCAACCTTCCAGTTGGGAGACAACTGCTCTACCCACCGCACCAGCACCGCACTGAACTGTAGCTGCAGGAACCTTAAGCCATTTGCACCTGTTGTTTGTAAGTTCAAATGGCTAAAACTAATGCGGATGTTTGCTAAGGGGAATTTTGCACATCCTTAAATTAAAACATTGCACCAAAGTGACTAGCTTTTTGGTATTTACACTGAATAACTGCCGGGTTTAATATTGTATAGCTGACTGAACCAACTGAAAAAGAAAACAATTAGATACTGAATCTGAGGATGTAATATGATTAAATTGTGGGTGTTTGATACTAGAATCAAGATTTTGAAGTACAGTACAAAAAGTAATGCACAAGTGTGACACAGCAAAACCACACACTCACATTCTTGCACTCACCTGTCTACCAACTCTATTATTATGCAGCCTCATACGAGCATGGATGTCTCTGTAGGTCTCACGGGCATCCAGGAAGTCCCGCGAAAACTTCTCTCCAAATTCCACATCGGGGCTGCAGCCACCCCACTCCCAGGAGTCCTGGGGTCCTGGCAGGTCAGCGGGGAAGTGCTCCATGACACCGTGCACCATACCCTTCCCCCGGTGGATGGCCTCCAGCTGCAAGCGGTGCAGTTTGATGCGAAAGGCCTCCTCATCCCCACGCCGCTTCTCGTCGCAGCCACATGTCTTCAGTTTACCCATGGAGCAAGCGTTGGCCACTGCATGCACGACACCTGCTGCTGCAATGGCGTACGCAAAAGCACTCTCTCTAAAACCTGTGGGTGAAGGGTGAAGACAGTGGTGTTAAATGTGGTGGCGGAAGGGTTACAATCAGGAAAAATGTTTAAGAAAGAAAAGACTGGGATATTTTGTCTGAAAAAAATATCTAATTCAAATGACTATGACTAATATGCTGCTTGTTTGTTTGTTTTAGTTGTGGCAAATTTTCTTTTAACCAGAATAACAGCACAGCATCAGATTAAACAAAACAATTTAATTACCCTCATTCAAAATCTGCGGGATAGAGATGGGAGGAGATTTTCCTTGTCCTAAAACTACAGTTTTAAGGCAACAGCTAAATGACCAAAATGAAGAAATCTTTTACCTTCTCTGTCAGCAACTAGCATTTCACTGCTGCGTTTTACCTTGTGTATAATAAAAGAGCTTCCTCTGCACCCGAGAGTTTATTCACGTGTTTATATCAACATATGCAGAGTCTCATAAGACCAGGGGAAACATCATGGGACAATACCAATTAAGTGTTCCACCTGTGTACGTCGTCTCTGTGGACCAACTGAACATAAACAGACCCCCACTGTTCCTATCAGAGGACTCACATAGGATTCACACACTGTTACCTGACAGGGGTGTGCCTCTTTTGTCTGTCCCACTGCCTATATACGGTACAAGATATCCAGCTGTACAACTCATTGCAGACAAAAGGTCCTGAATTTTGAATGCCTCCCTCCTTCCCTGCATTTTTTATAGATCTTTCAACCAGACTTGGTCGCTGGTTTACTGTGCTTTTCTGGCTGACTGAGCTGCATCAGATGGCGGGAGTTTGAGTCTTTTTTTCTCATTTTGTCTTGCAATAAAAGTTTAGGACCAAACTCTGTGTTACTGTACTTTATATGTATGTGTATGTGTTTAGTTTCAAGAAACCGATTACACTATACTGTGGCTTTTGCCTTGTAATCACTTCAAATTGGCTCAGATGTACTATTGCATGTTAAAAGAGTGTAAACATATAATCATTCTGCTATTGCCTTTGCAGCTAAACACATCCATTTTCTTTGAAACTGCATGTGGCATACGTAATGTGTACAACTGTACCACGACTCATCTGTAATTCTGAAGGCTAAGTCTTCTCTTACAAACACACCCACACACCCTAGCAATATAAATACACATCCATTCTGATATATTGCTGTTACAAAAATGTAAACATTTAAAAAAAATTCCTGCCCAGTTGTGGAATCTGGGAATATTGATGGGTGATGTGTGACAGCAGATTATGCACGTGTACCCTCCTCAGTGCTGGAGTTCAGTTTACTGTGGGTAAGCATGGCGCCCTTGGGTTCTATTAAAGCAGCCTCACTGGTAGTCAATTAGTGGTGTAGAAAACAGTGATGATTATAATAAAACTTGTAAAGAAACCACTGTTCACTATAGCACAGTGCCTGAAGGGGAAAAAAATCATGTGGTGTTTCTACAGCTCAACTATACCGACATACATATTTAAATACAAAGCTTCTGTCACTCCATCGGAGCAGACACACAGACCCTCAGCTTGCAACACAGAGGTTAGCATTTTTGAGCTAGATAATAATATTTTGACATTCCAATCACTGTCATGTTCTTTAGTTTTCATGAAAGAAAGCTCAGTTAGCTGTGCACAACTGATGATTTTCTACAGTTGTAAAATCCTGCCGTATCACACATCATTTTGACACCTGATATTCCCTTAACAACATTAAGTGTTTCAATTGTCCCACTAGTTCCTTAAACAGCATGTCAGTACCAACCCTGTGCTACATTAAGCAATTTTCCCATTTTAATTTAAATAAAAGAAAGGAGCATCTACAAGTTTTGACTTTCCTTGTCTTAAGATGTATGTACATAATCTATGTTACAGTCAGAAACGAGATCCATGTGTTCACTGGCAGTGACAGTACCCTGATACAAGTGTTAACAACTTATAGTTTGCACAATCAAGCAAAACAGATGCAGGTTGACTTTCAGTCAGCAGAGAAGCAGATACTGTACAGCATGCTAGATTTGTCACTGGGAGTGACCTCTTCAGCATACAAGCAGTCATTTGATCCATTGCTTTTCTATGCTTTTCCATTGCTGTGTTATTATAGCAGCTTGGATGTTCAACATCTGATCAAGGGCATATTTTGGTGTGACACCACAAAAAGAAAATGCACACACAAACTACAATTGCAATGGCTGTACGCACACTTTGACTCACTAACTCCCAAAATGCCCCTCTGCCCCCAGACAACCTTGACTTGCACAAGGTGCAGAAGTGCGAGGGATGGCACTTCAGTACATCCTCATACATGGAAAGACCATTTTTGCTCCATCCCTGCTCTGAGTCAGGCTCAAGCCCCCCGGAAGACATGGGAACAAATCAATCTAACAAATAATTCACTGGCTGCGGCACGCCCGCATGAACTGGTGGCAGAGGAAGTGGCAAAAAGAATTAAAGATTCAAAGGAAGCTGTCACATTGTGTTACAGAAACTGACTAAACAGGTTTATGCATTTACCCATGAAAGTTGGGAAAGTGCTGAGAGCAAATTCACAAGCACTTGCACGGGACGTAAAAGCATTAGGAGCAGCCCAGCAACGAAGGACACAGACACAGTGATGATGAAAGAGAGCGAGAAATAAAGAAATATGCAGAGAGAGAGAGAGAGCGAGAGATTCTCCTCTTTCTATCTGTGTCTTGGCTGACATCCTGGTTAGCTTCCCTTTTAATGCAAGCTAAACAGGAATGAACATGGGCCTGTAACCGTTACCAGAATTCAGCAGCAGCGCAATCCAAAGCAGAGCCAGAGAAGATCCAAGTAGCATTTGATGCAGTGAAATTAGAAACCAAAAACAAGACAGTGAAATGTAAAGCACCTGATATCCTACAATGATCAGACAGAAGCTGTGAAAAAACTCTGGAAGACCATTTGAATAGGCAATGTTCTAATAGCAAGGAATATTTCAGTTGAGTCCCTTTCACTAGAATGTTTCTGTGTTGTAGTGTAAGCGTTGCTTTACAGGCTTTTTAAAACATAAATAAACATGTTGTTATAACCTATGAATTATAAAGCCAAGGTCCTAGCTTGGTATACACACACCTTTAGAGACACTATGTTGTTTATTTTCTTATGGGCAGTTACACTAAACCCTTAATCTCTACAATTCCATTTAATCCCTGTCTGTAAATCTGTCTCAGTAGATATACTGCCTGTTTTCAGTAGCTGCATGCAATAATGACTGCAGCGCATTAACTCACATCAGTTTTTTAGCTTCTGTGGAGCAGAACGTATGAGCACGTAGCAGATGAATCATTTGATTTAAAGAGGTTGTTTATGTCAGTGGTTTGGAGTTTCTGCACCCAAGGCAAAGCAGGGATGCCAGACAACCAGCAACTGCCTCGACTAATAATGACAAACAGCCTTTCAACGAGTCAGTGAGGAGTGAAAGTAATGCCAGAGATGTGTAAGCATATACTGAGGTTTGCTTTTTTTCTTCAGTGAGAGCTAAAATAAATTAATGAATTAATTTAAAAAAACGCTTTATGATCGAAGCTTCATGATTTGCATTATTTGATTATGGCAACACCCCCTCAGGCAAAATCAGATACATTTTATCAGTTAGTGTTTTTATGTTGGAGAATTCCATCAACACTTCATTACCACTGTCTTAAAGAAACATCCATCAGGATATTTACAGAAATCTGGTTTTCCCATGCTGACAACCTTTGTATATGCTACAGACTCAAAACAGAATGCTGTCATACCAAAGCAATAAGCAAGCTAAACTACTGTAACTGCTGTATACTGATAAGGCTGAAGTTTAATTTTTCTGCAATTTCTGAAACATGGGATATATCATCTGATTTCTTATTTGGTGCGATTGAAATCAAGCTGAACTCGAGCCTCAGCCTACCGACCACAGCTAAAATACATATTGTGCGCGCTTCTTCAGTCCAGGTGGTCAGGAGGCTAAGAAACTGATGCCTTTTCCAGTCAGGAACCTGGGATGAATCCATCTAAAGCCTTCCCAGCTCTAAAGATCCTCTTTCATCCTTTGTGGCTGTCTTGCAAAGCTCTGAGCACTACAAAGCCTCAGAGGAAAATGATCTGCATGATGTCTGGTAATCTGAAGGTGACTAACTGCTTCTGAAGTTACCTGCTCCTTTGTACAGGTTGCTGAGGAGATGTAGTGAGATGGTTAGAAAGTATATCAGTTCGCTAGCCATTAGAGAGAACCTTACCACATGGAGGACATTATTCTTGTGAGATAACATACAAGAAGTGTAACTTTGGGTAGAAATGACCCTTCTGATAACCTTTTGACTGTGTTTAGGGGATAATTTTATAACAGTGCTTGTTTAGGTTATACATCTTTGTTAGAATTAATCTCCTGTCCTTTCAAAATATTCTATCAAAGAGGGCTTGAGGATGCAACCGCAGCCTGTTTGAAGACCAAACCTTTGAACTGTCAGCCTGAACCCCATTGTCTCTTTTTTACAAGGTAGCCAGTGCTACATCCCTGTAACATACTGACTGTATTACCAGAGTTGATATTGTATACAGTATATACTGTATGTATGACTAGCCAACCTCTATTTAACACCTTATTACCGTGAAGATGTATTCAAAGTTAAAGTTTCAATCAAGAAATTACAAACATACAGCACATATTTATAGATTAGTGACCATAAAACTAACCTCGTTTAAAGACTATGCTGTCATAGGGTATTTTGCTCCTAGTCTCCAGGCTGGAGCAGTTCCAGCGGTGCCCTCTGAATTGGTGCTGGCACTCATGGATGGCGATCTGGATTCCCTGGATCGCAGAAGCTGTCACGTCTGGGTTCCGCATGCATACTTCCAGTTGGCGCCGTGTCAACCCTGGCAATGTTAGGCACACTGTGTTGGCATTCAGGACTGGGTCTATGTTGGGAAGCTTCAGGCCTAAGATTTCATTGGAGTCTACCCTGCATGGAGCACACAGGTCAGGTTATTGACAAGACACAGTCATATGTCCTTCTATCTCTGTTCTAGTCACTTCTGTTGTTCACAGACGTCTAGATAAAACTTGAAAGCTTTCCTCTTAGCAGCAGCTCTCAGGTCCACCGAACACACACCCTGACTCAATGCTCCCCAGTAGATGATTCTTCTAAAACGTCAGTAACACAAATCCTATGATTCAATAGTTGTAACCATCTCCAGATGTTGCTGGATTGAAGGGCTAAATGCTGTCTCAAATCTCTTTTGTGTTTTTCACTTTATGATCTTGATCTTTCACTTTCGATTCACTTTATGATCTTGTAAAGTTGCTGCTAAAAAGAACAGCTGAAAACTGCTAGATGGATGTGGGTTAATACTGCTTTAAATTCACACTACAAAACATGCATCATATCACAGCTGCATAGTGTTAACTAAGCTAAATTCAGGTCATCACTTTGATATTGACTTAATAGTAGTAATACAGGTGAGCTGAAGCAGGGGATGAGGGAACTGCATCCACTTTGTTGGAACCAAGCCAGTAGTTTTAGCAACAGTTTCAGAGACACAAAAGGCAGATTACCTGCCTCATAAAATCAACACAGGAATTACCTTACCCTCTAAATTCATTGCCATTTTAGCTGTAAGCTGTGTCTCTGTACTCAACTGTCTCCTACTTCTCTTTCAGATCAATCAAGCCAACAACTAATTCAAAGCTCTTTTTTAATTCACAAAGAAAAACTAACAAGGAAAACACAAGCTGCGCTGATGATGCTTTGAGTGCCCGGTTTTTTCATTGGCATTGCAAGAAAAAGATATGCACGTGTGGTTGTGCATACAAACAGACAGAAACCACACATGTAGCCAGGAGCATGTATGGCTGTGGGCAAACACGCACATCTATAAACACACATGCTCAAGCACACCTTGGCATGCACATACAAATACCCAGGTGTAGGGAGGAGTGTACAGTACAGCTGCAGCGATTTGCATACTACTTCTTCTCAGTTTCATCAACAAGTGTAACCTCAATCAATCTTCAAGCCTCTGCACCAGAGAAACACTTCAACGTTCACAAATCATCGTGCATGTTCTTAAATAGCAACCAGCTTTGGACATGAATGAAATAAAAAAATAAAATAAAATAAAACAAACAGTTTTCTGTATCAGATGTTGTGGTGGGTTCCTGCTTTCTTGATGATATTGCATTTTGAAGCGTGTGTCCCTGTAATTCTAGTCTGGGTTCTGATGTGGTTCAAGCTTTGAACAATTGTCTTTGTCAAGGACAACTTTTTATTGACAGGCAACATTGTTTGGAAATTAAGGATGTAGATAATTGTTAACAGGTAATGAAATTGTAAAAATGTTGGCTTATGTTTTATTTTTTATTTTACTCTGACGCACCATTTACCATTAAGCACACGTGTCGGCCAGACTCGTGTTGTTAACTGATAACTAATAATTTAAAGTGCGATTAAAAGATCAAAAACTTAGTAGAAAAACGTTCTTGAACACAGAATCATAAAATTGATACTTATCTAGTCATTAAGTGTATTAAATCAACACAGAGTTTAAGTTTATTTAGCTTGAATTCGCTTATTAATTCCAACTCACCTTGTATCCAAGAGACAGATGACCACCAAGACGCACGTTATTCTGAGGACCGAGTGTTCCATTTTATGCCTTGTAAAATTTGGGGGAAAGAATTAAAAACAAGAGTTCAGACTCTAGTACGGCGCCTCAAAATTTAGGAAGGACAAAGCAGAAGAGAGTGGGCTCTGGTCCGACTAAAGGTTGGCGCTGGACTTGACAACTCCGGCTACACGGCGTCCAGATGTGCCAGCCAGAGGCGGGATTCTCATTCAAGAAAAGTTTCACCAAACACTCAGCCTACTGAATGGAAGTGTTTGCCACAGGTTTCCTCTCTCACACACTTTAATACACATCCCGGTATCTCCGCCAACAAGGTATTTGTATAAGTAGCCTATAATCTCCGAGAGAGACGGCAGAACCAATATAGGTGCGCTAAATGAAGTCTACTTGACTAGTGATGTTTCGGTGCGCACCGATAGTCCTCTACACTACTCCACTTCACGTTTCGCCAGCCCACTTTTTTGCGTCACTCGAGGAGTAGAAGAATGTCGACGGAGGTCAAGCGTCTCGTTAAACAAGGATAGAGATGATTTTAGATAAGGAAACCAGAAACACTTAGCCTGCGCCCTCTGAGAGAGATAGACTGGGCATTTATATTCAGTGGGAGGGCGATGCCAAGGATGAAGAGATGGAGCACTGTGTTGCAAAATAGAAAACGACTTTTGTGCTTGATATCTTTGTAAATATGGATAAAATGATGATGATGATGATGAAGATGGGCATGAGGTGGAGGAAGAAATGATAAGGAAAAGGATCATGTTTATGATATATTAAAGGAAGCCACACTGCACTAAGATTGTCCCTGTGTTTCATTGTCAAATCAGTTCATGACTTTCTACAACTATCTGTGTTTAGCTATTCACCCTTTGATTCATTATAACTTTTGGCTTTTGTATTTTATTTCAGTCATCCTATTTCTGAAAACCTTTCTCTACAGTTGGGTTGTTGTTTTCATAAAGTTAGGGGAGTCACCAAAGGAAAGAAAGGTCAAAAATAGAAGCCTAGTCACTAGTATATGTCCACTTTCAGAAATGCTTACACTTCTCAAACTGGAACAGATCATTAGAGCCTCCCTGCTTGGTACACATGCTGACATTATCAGTCTATGTTCTCAGACCATGCAAAGCCACTTCAGAACCACAAAGGATTTTATAAAATTGATTTCATAATCTTGTACTAACAGTGAGAAGTAAGCTGAACTTGATGTGTAAAATTGCAAAGTTGCCATTTCATAATTTTTCTCAGAAACATGTACTCAGTTAAAAACAATGAGGTTTTTTTCAAGGTGGGTTTGTGAAGTCTGAAATCTGTCAAAGCGAAGACCCTGTTGTACTCTGAAGAACAGAACAAGCCATAAACATATTACGGTTTGTTAAAGTTTTCGCCTGAATTTATCCATAGCTCTCTAGCTGGGCCTCTGTGTCACGGCCTTTCATCTTTAAATTTGAATTATAATAAAGTATAACAAAAAGAGTATCTCACTTATCTCTGTGCATTCAGAAACAACAAATAAAAAGGTTTCCCCCCCCCATCCATGGAGGGAAACAAGCACTCTGCCAGCATGGAGTCACAAAGCAGTAAAACACTGCACGGGTGAAGCAGTCAGACACAATTAAGCTGCTGTACTCAGATTTAAAAGACCAGGGAAACAATCCCACATCAGTTTCTTCCAGAGGGATCTATCACAGCAGGCTGATCTGGAAGCTTTGGCAGGTACATCAACTTCATGCTTAATTATTTTAAGGCATGTAAGGAAAACAGGCTTCTTAGTGGTTTTTGTTATTTTGAGCTTAGTTCTGCAGCAAAATGTGTTGCATACTGTCATTCTGTCTCTCTCTCTCTCATCAGGACTGATAATAACATTACTTGCTGAATCAGACGTCCTTATAAACATGACTTATATATCACTCCCCTCTCTCCACTCGGAGAATCAAAAACAGCCACAGGAGGCACCTCTGCCGTGATTTTGTTGTGACCCGGTGAAGCGATCCTATGAACGAAATTATTTAAAAAATGTTATTTGTGGTTTGGTAAGTCATAAAAATTAAGTTAAAAAAATTACTAAATCAAACAGAGCTAGGTCTAACATTTAACTTAAGGTAAAACTACATTATATATATAACATAACTTTTAAAAGAAGAACTAAGACATGTCCCCTCTTAAAAAATGGGACGCTATAAATTCTTATTATTTATCTTCATAAACAGTCAAACACATGTTTGCTCTAATCAGTATGCTCAGGTGGTTTGCTACAGCTTTCTGTGTAACCTTTGCTGAACTGCTACGAATGCTGTCACACATGACAACTAAAGGAATTGTCATGCTAACATGTTGCGTAACAGAGGTACAAGCAGAGTAATAACCTCAGTAATAAGCTAGCTGCAGCATATTGATAAACATAACTTTTCAACTGTGATTTTTTAAAAGTTTTCTACACTTGCTTTAATACATAATATAAATAAGTCAAGCCAAATTAAAAATATATACTCTAGTCCTATAAAACAGTAAAATGATGAGTGTTTTTCTAGTTTAAATTATAACCTAATGAGCCAACTTTTTTTGACTTAGTTGGATAATTTAGAGATAGAAGTCAAGTTATAAGAGAGTAAGTCAATATTTGGCAGGTCAAAAGTTTTACTTGAGTGCATGAGCACTTATTTTTTATAGTTTTAATACCAGGTTTCCACTGGGAGGTGACTTTATTTAGGTTTTATTGAGTCAGTGTGGTTTGAATAAATATCTTTAGGAACTAGCCTCATCTGTTTTTCCTTAAGCATCGTTACGTACATGTCAGGGGTGATCACTGTCCAGGGGTCTCGTTTTTGGAATTTGATTGACAAGTGTAGGTCCCAGCAGGTACCATCACTTCTTTTACACACACTTTACATAGTCATGCTATGGACCTATTACACATTGTTCATAAAGAAGAAAGATACTATGTGTGTGCATGCACAGTGTTTTCATTCCTTGTCAGGAATTTACATTGACTTACATTCATTTAATAAGGATAACCACCTTTATTTGGCCAAGTATGTTACATGCAAGGAATTTGTTTCCAGTACAGAACCAGCCATCTGCGGTGCCAACTCACACCAATGGATCTAACCATTGAGGGCAACTTGGGGGTTTAGTGTCTTGCCCAAGGACACTTTGACATATGGACTGTAGGCACTGTGATTTGAATCTCCAGCCCTCTGGTTAGAAGACGACTGCTCTACCCACTGAACCACAGTCCACCCCCCCCCCCCCCGACTTAGCTAACCCTAACCCTGGCCGTAACCTCACCCTAACCTTAAACCATGTTTCCATCCTAAAATTCAGCGATTTCCTTGTGAGGACCAGCCTCTGGTCCCCACAAGGAAGGACGAGTCCCCACAATGTGAGTGTGTTAACAGGTTTCAGTCCCCATAATGTTAGGGTACATAAACACACACACCTTTAATTGTTTCCCACTCTTCACTACAGAGAATGTTCCTGTTCACTTACATTCAATAAAAATGATGTGGGAACTGTTCAGTTCAACTTGACTCCTGTGTCTAGGGACATGAATATTTTATTTTAGTTAAATGCTCATGCCAGGTTTGTATCATAGTTCCCTATTGTGAGCCTAAAAGTTTTTCCTTTAACATGATTTTCCTGATTTGCCCTTTTTTATCTTGCACTGCTCAGTCTAACTCACTCTGTTGCATGAAATTTGAATCTGCTGAACATTTAATTCAATAATAAACTAAAACACTGAGTTGTCCCAATAGTGCCAGTATTTTTGTTGAGTTGCGATGTCTGGTTCAGTTGAAACTTGATTGTCCTGTTGGGAGAGACGCAGTAGAGCTATGTTTCCCAGTCTGGTAACATGTTGGGTCATATTGTATTTATGAATGTGTAGTTTATGGGCTTGACTTTTATCACTACATTGAAATACATGGAAACATAAGATTTTAGCTCTTTTTCTTTCTTTTTTTAAATTTTATTAGACAAAGCCAGACAAAACTAGACTTGTCATGTGGCCCAATAGAAAGCCTCTCACACCGCTGATCATTTCTTTTTCAGTGATCTGCCCCTGTAGCACATGTTTTGCCAGGTGGCTTATACCATGCAAATTTAGATAAGACACATTAAGCATTGCAAGACATTTCTAACCATCATATTATTAAAAAGTGGCATTCAAAATGCTTGAACAAAAGTTGAACAAGTAGTCATACATTTGAAATTGTAAAAGGTAAAATAAATTCTTGCTTGACAAAATAATGATGTGTTATGTACAATGTGAACAAGAAGTAATTTTTCCCAGATGTAGGATATGAATTAGTGAGCTTAGAGGTGCAGGTAGGCAGATTTTGTTTCCCTTGCACAGAGCCAGGCCATAGTAGATGCTTCTCCCTGTTTCCAGTCAGTGTGCTAAACTGCTCCAACCTGGCTGGTTGCTATGGCTTCAAACTTTGCATACATACATTGCGGCTGTATGTTTTTATCTAACTCACAAAGTGAATAAGTGTATTTCCCAAAACATCAAATTACTTAAACTTGAATCAATGGTTTTCAAGTGTCTTTCAACCCCTTTTTGCTTATAGCAGTTGGATTGTTTCCCTCCTTTTACCTGCAAAGTTCAGCTGCAGAGCTGCTTTCACGCTTGGTTGAAAACCATGGTAACTGATCTGAATGCATCTTTCACACTTGAAAAGTCAATGGAACTATATAAAAGAAGATGCTGTATATTATTGTCTTTTACACTGTTGAAGGTTCCTATTGTATTTTGACTTTGGTGTATTTTATATACAGTAGCACAGTAATGAGCCTCCTTTGGTTTGGAGTGTCCCCTATTGACTGTCATGAACTTATTAATTGTTGCAGAAACAGCACATATAGTGGGTGTCATGATTAGTCTCACTAGTTAATGCACTGTTATTATTTCTGACCTTTTATCATTACCTGTCACTGTCTTGTACCTTCAACGTAATCTGGGATGGGATGCCAGGTTGAGGGTAACAGTATAGAGTCATTTAAAGATGTTGCAGAATCCCTCGTTGCCTCTGTTTTGGTGTTTGTCCCATGTCTTGGCCTTTATTTAGCTCATTATCTCCCAG